AATGTAGTAATAATTGGAATGAAGGATTACTAGGATTCGAAACAAGATCGTGAATAAAACTTGACAAGATCCTGGAGATTCAGGATCCTGAAAGATTCTTCCAAGATTTCTGAAGGAATGAACAGGAATGAGACTAGGATAGTTTAGCCATTTGACTATATGCAAACTAAATTGGTAACCCTGCATCATATAGGATTCTCGAAACATAGGAAATCGTTTAGGAACGTGTAAAATGCCGTGAATACGAATTAAAAATGTCGTTTTATGTGTGTGTTAGTTTCATTTCGCACAGAGTGTTGGATGCGTAGTTGAATCTTACTGTAATGATAGAAACGTATGAAAGACACTAAATTTCTGCGAAATAAATGCGTATTTCAAGCTCAGAAGCCACATCGTAATTCGCAGTATATCAGAAATTGTATTATATTTTCTGTGAGCTTTGTCATTACGAAACCTATAAGTTATTTTGGAAAGAACCTAACATAGTTATAAAAGCAGCACAGTGGGTGCTTGAAGTTGATATTAGACTAGCCCGTAAGATTTTCTTCCGAATATTGTTGAAAGAATTTTGCTGCCCTTTATAGATCGTTCGACAGAGAATTTAATGCGCTAGAAAATCCTTTGTACAATATACAGAAGAAGATGCGACTAGCCATGAAACATGAAATTCTCTTGGGAACGGCATGTAAAGTAGGGTGGTCAATGAGAGAGTAATGGGCACTATGAAGATGATTCCTGTCGACCTATCGGTTTGCTGAGGTGCTACGCAGTATTTTTATATTAGACTACCAATTCACATTTTCTTGTGCATATTGTATGTTCCCTTGATTGTAAAGGAAAGAGTCTTATCGAGTTAAAATGCCTGTATGTATGTATCCCAGATCACGGAGAATGAGACATAAATGAGACATGTATGTCACCAATATGCTCCTATCGGGATCCTAAAATGAAAGGTTCAGCAGTTCTTTCTTAGCCACGGATACCATGTGCACCTTTTCAAGTACTGAGGGCAGTACGAGTCCACTCGGAATAAAATCAATAAACATATTGAAGTGAAACAATAAATGATAAAGAAATACATACAAAAAAGAAGAATGGCGGATTGAGCATGAGTCTGTGATCAAGGCTGATCTTAAAGTACTGACTGGAACATTTTTCAATAATAAAAGAAACACGCTGCACTGTAACGTAATGTACGCTAGATCGGGTTCAAAGCGGGCATCGAGTTTTTCCCTAACCATTCATACTTTTTATAGGTCTGAGCCTTCTTTCAAGCCCGCACTGTAGAAGAATAGGCTTCTAGAAAAGGTAGTGATACTAAAGAAAACGTTAAGCAAGTTAGCTTCCTTTACCCAATCTGCATCTCTCACGGTATCTGACTTTAACTTGATCGAAAAGTCAGAAATCGCACTATTTTTCTTATCACTATATCTTGCCTTCCGCAAGATGGTTTTTGTGTTTAATTAGAGATAGAAAACAGAACGGTTTCTGCCTTTTCGACCAAGGTAAAGTCAGATATAAGGTGTAATGAGTCAGATATAAGGTATAATGAGAGATGTCAACTAGCTAGAAGAGGCTTCCTGTAGAAGAGAAAAATCCACCTTGCCGCTCAAAAAATTAAGTCCTACTGTATAAAAAGTTATCTCATAAAAATGTCACCAAAAATACGTTCAACACTGATCCACTTGCGTCTCAATAAAATATGCCTTGACTGAGACATCTGAGACGAATGTTTTTTAAGTGCAGTCGATGAAACTGTTAACTGCTTTTCAATAATCACAAGCTGTTCCGCGGCCAGTACCTTAAACAATTTTGCCACTTGCTCGGAGCAAATGTTACAGTCTATCTTTTTCCGCAAAACCCAACCAACTAACTCGTGTGAGTTGGATTGCAAACGCGTTTCTTAATGAGTCCATCGATACAAAAGTCACTAACAAAGCAACTGAATTGCTGGTCGTGCAAAAATACTGGCTTTCAGTTCAGGCCGTTTTAGCTCCGTTCCAGTCGATGATATGGAAAAGTGATGAAAATTCTTCAGATTTTTAATGTTCTCTAAGAATTGTATTTTTAAATGAGTAACTAAACTCCCCAAAACTGTCTTTCTTCGTATATGAAACTCGAGTTAAATTTAATTATATTTAGTAATTCTACAACTGCCTTCTTAGTTACTAGAGACTAGTTAATGTAAAGAAGCAGAACATGTGCATTGTGCAGTGATATCGTGCTTCGCTCTCGTCGTGTGAAAGTTATCGTTCTTTGTTCGATAAGAACAAGGAATAGTAACACCCTCATACGGTATCGACGGAGTTTGTGTTGCTTGTGGTGCTTTAACTCTGTCTTTCTCGAAGGAAACCACCTGACGAGACCGTGGAGAAAAGTCGAAACCGGTCGTGGTATCTTCTTTGATTCTTTCAGAAATGAATTCTGTCTGAGTCTCTAGTAACTAAGAAGGCGGTTGTAAAATTACTAAATATAACTATCTTTCTTTGTTTTTCTTTCTCTTATCGTATTTTAACATTATGAACATTACGCAGATGATTAGTTCAAAATCTAGTGTTGATTTGCACATCGAGTGACGTCACGAAGAGTTTCAAGGAGAAACAGTGTTTTTTGTAAGTGGCTAATCATCTAAACGATTTGTTTATACATTAATACTAATAGCAGAAATGGGGCTGTGAACATAATAAGCCAAGTTACAAATAATATCAGTTAAAACAACGGATTCTGCGATTGATCAATTCTATGTGATAAGATGCATTTAAAGGAAACTTGCACATCAATTTCTTTTTGACTTTATTATACATATTCTTGTTCAGCGCATCGAGCTGATCACGAACATAACCTTTCCAGCCCTCAAAAACCCCTTCTTCACTGAGAAATTCTTAGAATACTGAGAAAGTTTGAAAAACGCCCTTTTCGCTCGTTTTTCGGAAATCCTTTGCCGTTTCTTCGCGGTTGTCCTAGAGACTCGAGTCTGGTCTCATTCGATTCCGCATCGAAAACTGATCTTAGCCAAGTTACTTTCGAGTCTCCAAACCCAAAACTCTGTGGAGTCTGTATACGCTCACAAATTGTCATAAGAAATTGAATATGTAGGAATTGTAATGGTAAATTATTCAGTCTTACGAAAAATGTTTTCACTACAGAAGCTATTGATGATAAAATGAACAAAATTTAAATACTTATTTTAATGTGCGTAGCTTATCACGTCACTTTGATCGGCGACGATATCCATGTTTCATAGTTATTTGCGCTCGATGGATTTCCGAATATCCTCAGAACACTGATTTTCATTTTAAATATACCGGCTCCGACTAAAGAACGAACGGAGCTGAGCGATGTGAGTAAGGTACCATCCCAAATATATATATAGTAAGGATTTCCGCTGATCGGTACCGCAGGCAAATAACGATCTTCAACCATAACACCGATGACGCTCCCGTTACTGTTCACAATGTCGATGCGAAATCGAGCTGTCCCGGTCAAAAATTTAATGTTCACTTGTAGTTGAGTAGTATTGCTCCATCTATTGAACGTGTACGGAAATTTTGTGATAGCTGTACTATTGCCTCGTTTACTCAAATATGGAAAGGATTTACGATCTAGTATAGGCAAATCATATCGGTTTCCAACTTCACCGATATATGGAATGTGCACTGCCACTCCTTTGTTTGGTTTCACAACAATGTAACCACCGTAGAGGTCATGATCTTTTTGATCGAGTTTGGGTGGTTCAACAGTGAAGCTCACTTGTGTGGTTTTCCCCGCACGAACGCTAACCGATCCAGGCGAAAATGTAAGTTTGGCACTGCCGTTCGATTTAGAATAGGTAAACGGCGTTTGGACAGCGTAGCCTGTCGATGCTCGATCATACGGCGAAACTGTGCGAGCCGGTACGTGAGAGATGGTATAGCTCGAGAAGTACCACATCGCGTCGCATCTGGCTTCGAGGCCATCAATAATCTTGTTGCTGTCGATGTGTTCAACTCAAACAAAAGATACACAGTGGCTGTCATCTATTCGCCTCCTGTGGAGGAAGTGCCCGTTGACCTTCTCGATCGATTGCACCGATACAATCGACACTTACTCCTGATCGGTGATCTGAACGCCAGGCATCCCGATTGGCATGACGTAACTAGCAATTCATGCGGTCGTCAATTAGCCCACTGGATAGAAAAATATCCAGATTTGAAAATCTTCAATCCATCACAGGCAACCTCCATGCGCTCGCAAGCCGTTATTGATCTGATCATTGCGCCTTCATGTGCGTCATCAGCCTTAGCCGTCATAGATCAGAAGATGCGTGTGAGCGATCATTATCCTGTGCATTGGCGCCTGTCGTCATTCACATCGACTAGCTTCACTCCATGTGAGGTGAAACGAGTCGACTGGGATGTGCTGAATTGCATTCTCGATCTCAAACAAAACTTCTTCCTCCTCCTCGCTGCACAGATGAAGAATGACCCGGTCGAGTTCATCCGTGTTTACGAAGCCTTTCTCGTTGCCCTACAAGAACGATGCACGACCTATTCCAGGATAAAAAGCTATCGACCCAGTCTCCCTCCCTATTTAGTGAACATCATCAAAGAGCGACGACGAATTCTGTGCCTCCATCGATCGACTCGTTTAGCAGAATATCATACGTCGCTTCGCTCTCTGAACAAGTACATTCATCATGAGCTGCGAGCAGTGAAGCGCGCCCAATGGCAAGAGTTTTGCCTTGGGCTTGAACCGAAAAACACGCGACGCTTCTGGAATCACTCGAAGCGACTGTTCAAGGCTCGTGAGCATAGAATCCAAGGTTTCCTTACTGAGAGAAATCATCCCGTGATCACCGACGCAGATGCGATGCTTGCACACGCTCAGAATTACTACGCAGCGTCATTCCGTGAGACGGACACACCGTACTAGCATCACGAAGTCACTGAATTCAAAGAGAATCTGACCGAAAAGATAGCTGAACTTCCCACGAAACCATTTCGATTCACGATCAACGACCTCCGTCGCTCGATCCAACGCCTAAAAACGAAAACCTCGAGCGGTCCTGAGAAGGTGTCGAACAAACTGATCAAGGCGATTCCGGTCTCACACTATTGCTTCCTTCTTCAAACCTTCAATGCTTTTCTCGTCACGAACACATATCCACCGCATTGGAAGCTGTCGAAAATGATCTTACTACCGAAAGACAAATCAGCGATTCTCTCTGTGAATCAAACTCGACCGATCTCCCTCTTGTCTTGCCTCGGCAAAGTCTACGAGCGATGCTTCCTCATCCATTTACTCCAATGGATGACAGATAACGCTATCCTTCCAGCAGAACAATCTGGCTTTCGCGCGCACCATTCCACGACCACGCGGTTCGTGCAGTTCCTGCAGCACCTGAGCACCGGCCTACAACAGCACACCGCTTCCTTGGTCATCTATGTCGATTTCACGAAGGCTTTCGATCAACTCTGGCACGACGGGTTAATTTATAAGCTACACCGTATGGATTGCCCACGAGAAATAGTTCTCTTCATTATCGAATACTTGCGTAATCGAAAGTCCTATCTTGAATTGAATCAAGTCACTTCGAACATATTCGACATCGAAAAAGACGTGCCTCAAGGCTCATGTCTTGGACCGATTCTATTTCTTCTCTTCCACTGCGAATTGGCTCAATGCATTCCTTCAGCCACTCATTCTCATATCTACGCCGACGATTTGGCACTGATCATTCATGCCTCACCCTGGTGGCATCGATCTGAATTCACACCACAGATGCAACGATTAGGCCAGGCAGCCTTGAATGAAGTGCAGCAATATGCAGCGAAATGGAAGCAGCCGATCAATGTCCCTAAGACAGAATGGCAATGGATCCATCGACGAGTAGTCATTCCGACACTCTCGCTGACGATTGCAAACAATCCCATTCAGCGCACATCTGTCTTCAAATACCTCGGCTATTACGTTGACGAGCGCCTCTCATTCACTACACATTGTACCAAAATGCTGCAGAAAGCTCGAAAGAACTCTGTCCTGCTCAAATTCATCAATCGATCGAAAACATCATCAGCGCAAGCGAGAAGACTCATCTCACAAGCATTCATTCAACCGTATCTCCAACTGATCTACGTCGTCTGGCCACTACTATCGAACAGCTCCATCGAACAAGTAGAGGCGTCAAACAGGCAGCTCTCTCGTCTCATCCACAACTGGTTCGATGCCAGTAATGATGAAGTAAGATGGCTGCCTCATTATCAGACAGCAGAATCAAAAGCGCAACGCTTTCTACGGCGATTCCTCGACAAAGTTGTACGCATTACGTTCGAACTTTTCGACGATTACATTCTCAGCAAAGCCATGCCTATGTATCTGCGAATGCATGTCCACGAACGAACATTCATCGATGCGCTACCCAAAGGACGATTCTGTAAACATGTCACTGATTGGATGAATCCTCCCACGAACGAACGACGTCAATGCTACTTGGATCGACTATCCACATTACTCACTCAGCAACGCTAAACACGACCTAGAACAAAAATGCACTCGAGATTGGAAATCGGGACTGAATGTCTAGTTTCCTGTAATCCTGCGTTCTGGTAGAATAAAGAGCACTAACACACACATATATATATTAGTGAGAGTGAAAAATGAGAAGCTGCCCGAACATTCCTGAGAGGGAATATATCGAAGAAGCGATATTCTGACGTCATGTGCAATGGAAATGCAAAGAAAGAAACTGTATGTGTCAGGCGTAAAATACCAAGGGATGGAACAGAGAGAGAAGTGCATCCCAACATATGGGTAAGAAGAATAGAGAATACGTATATTTTATACACAAAAGTCAGCAGAACGCAAGCGAAGAGAGGTAATTACATATATCTGTCTAGTGGTGCTCACGATGATACTGTGTTGATAAAAACGTTTGAGAAAAAAAGAAAACTCTAATTACCTTCACAAAAGTAAATATCATAGTAGTCGGGAAAAAATGTCTTATGTGAAATTTCAAGATTCACTGCGTTATATACAGCTGACAATAGTCTATCGGATTACTAATTGCATCTATTAACCCTATTTTTCACGAGCTTTCATTTGGTATAAAATTCAATATGGATATCATTTGCCATTGGAGCTGTACCCCCCGGGCAAAACATTTTTCGCAACCTTGTAGATCTACTATACCTAAACCAGAGAGATGCAGTTTTCGTCAAATAACATTGAGCTACGATGTATCGGTTTGATGGTCGTAGTTTCGTACGATCAGATATTTCATTGATAATATTTATCCATCGAACGACATCTTCATGAGCATTACCATCGAAATGAGGAATAGAGTTGACCAAATCTTCCATAACTGAGAGGGATATTGTCTGTCAAACGAGATAATAACAATCGGAGATGGGAAACGGAGAAGGACCAGTTGCAAACACACCAAGTAAACCACGGGAGAGAGGGATTCACAATACAGGATAGACGAAATGAAAGCGGGAGACTAAACCAAACGTTGAATAGCCGACGACGTGAGAAAACGAGAGCACCGAGGAGGATTGAACATGGATAAACTGTGGACAATGGACGAACCAAGCATCAATCACCACGGGAGACAGGAAACAACAGATTCGACTCGACAGAGATGTGTCGAGACGGGTCACGGCACCAATTGTTAGGATGCAACCTAACTAACGAGTTTATTCCACACTCTAGAACAACTGACTCGAGATCTCGAACCACACGAAGGAGACCGAGAGATGACCACTGAGAGAGAAGAGACTAGAAAAGGAAGGGTCGAGATAAGCTACATATAATTTTTCGCTACGTACAAATTTTTAAAAGCGTAGCTAGAGCAAGAATAATAGGTTGTCTTTGCTCTAACAACGTTTTTT